GACAAGCGCTTTGCGTTTCTTTATCGCAAAACGGTGTGTCATCTAATGATCAACTCTTTGAACTTTCTTTGTCCAATTTTCTAATGTTGTTGCGTTATTATCGTGCACCGTTAAAGACTGAATTGGAAGTTCTATTTAATGAAATATATTTACGTTTTTTGGATATGAGTAACGCGACATATCTGCAAAAACATTTAGTATTGCAAGGTCTTATGAAGATATGTCAAAAATCCCAAATTCTTTTAGATATTTATTTAAATTATGATTGTGATATTGCAATGGTTAGTGTATTCGAGCGCATTGTCACTTCATTATCAAAAGTTGCTCAATTACGTACAAAAGTTCCAAGTAGTTCTGGTATGTCAAGTTTAATAGGTGGTGGTTCTGCAACTGCAGAATTGGTGGCTATGCAAGACAAAGTACTGAAAATTAAAGGTTTAAAATGTATGGTTGCTATTGTAAATTCTTTAATTGAATGGTGTAAAGATTTGGAACGAAGAAATGGTAATGAATCTTCTCCATCACAACAATCATCGCAAAATCAAACACCGGATTTTATTGAAGATAAAACACCAATTATTTTCTCAAAAAATCCTTTATTAAGTGTCAATTTTTCAACTTCACACTCTAATTCAAGTGTTAGTAGTATTTGTACTGATGATAATGAAGATAATCCTGCACAATATCATGAAATGATGTCACGAAAGCAAACTTTACGAGAAGGAATTAAATTGTTCAATGCGAAGCCGCAGAAAGGTCTTAATTTCTTAATTGAACACGGCTTTGTAAAGAACGATACTGATAGTATAATAGCCTTCCTCTTGTCGACTGCAGGATTAAATAAAGTGTCTATTGGTGAATATTTAGGAGAAGGTGACCAAGAATCGATCAAAGTTATGCACGCATTTGTTGATCGTATGGACTTTGCGGGTTTAGGATTTGTCGATGCTTTAAGGTCGTTTTTACAAACTTTTCGACTTCCAGGCGAAGCACAAAAGATTGATCGTATCATGGAAAAATTCGCAGATCGTTATTGTGAAACTAACCCAGACGTTTTTGCAAACGCTGATACTGCTTATATTCTCGCTTATTCTGCAATTATCTTAAACACAGATCAACATTCTGCCAAAGTAAAGCGCCGCATGGATAAGAACGAGTTCATAAGGAATAATCGTGGTATAAACAATAACAACGATCTTCCTGATGAATTCTTGGGAGAAATATTTGATGACATTGCAAATCATGAGATCGTGATGGAAGAAGAACAGTTCTCAGAGGTGGCAAAAACTGCGATCAGTCATGCTAATGATCGAGAACGTCAAGAATTGTATGAACGCGAAATATCTCAGATGCAAAAAAAGAGTCAAGCACTTTTAAAAAGTAATAGGCAAGGTCAAACTCCTGCTGCTTGGCGAAATGCATCACACTCAGATCACGTTAAACCGATGTTTGCTGTAGTTTGCTGGCCTTTAATGGCTACTCTCAGTCTTGTATTTGAGGAGGCAGATAATCCTTTATCGAATGCCAACAAAGGTCTTGATTTTTTCCAATTAAATCAAGAAGCAATCGAACTATGTCTTGAAGGATTTCTTGGAGCTATCCGAATAAGCAGTATATTTCGTATGGATGTAGAACGTGATGCTTTTGTTTCCTCTTTGGCCAAACTAACTGGTTTAAATCATGTCGATGAGATGAGACAGAAAAATGTAGCTGCCATTAGAACATTGCTTTCTGCTGCCAATTCATATGGTGAAGGATTGCAATCTTCATGGCTTATAGTATTGAAAACTGTGTCTACAATGGAACGTTATCAATTAATCGACAGTTCTGCAGGATCGGTTGTTTACAATGCGGAAGGGGTTAATGGGTTGGATTATTCTACACCAAATGGTCGTAACGAAACATCTACTTCAAATCTTTCATTAAATTCTTCACCTACAACTCGTCAAAATACAAATGTAACACGTAATAATTCTATTGGCGGTTTGATGAAAGAATTCCAGTCTCAAAGCACGATAATTGCAATAGATAGAATTTTTACAAACAGCGTTAAATTGAGTGGTGATGCGATAGTACACTTTTTTACTGCTCTATGCGCCGTTTCTCTCGAAGAAGTTAATTCTTCAAGATCATCTCCAAGAATGTTTAGTCTCCAACGGATCGTTGAAATTGGTAAGTTTTATTATGATGTAATTTATATCTTTTAATTTCATAAGGTAATCAACAATTTTATTATAGCTTATTATAACATGTTACGTATTCGGTTTGAGTGGGCTCAAATTTGGAAGATTCTTCAACCCCATTTCGTTGCAGTAGGATGTCATACAAACCATATAGTTGCCACTTTTGCCATTGATTCTCTTCGACAATTGAGTATGAAATTTTTAGAAAGAGATGAATTGTCACATTATAATACTCAAAGCGAGTTTATGAAGCCATTCGAACAAATTATCAAGAGCAGTCCTTCCCCAAACATTCATGATCTCATTATACAATCAATTATTCAAATGATTTCTGCTCGCGCGAGAAATATAAAATCTGGTTGGAAAAGTATTTTTGTGGTATTTGGTCGTGCAGCGTCTGATGAAAATCCACAATTAGTAGAAACGACATTTGATGTTGTTAGGTTGGTATATCAGAAACATTTGGACCTTATAGGACCAGCATTTGTGGATTTTGTAAATTGTTTAGTGGAATTCGCATTTAACTGTAAAGAAAAAGAATTTGTCAACGAATCCATCAGAATGTTACAAGGCTGCGTTAAGGTTTTAGTAAAAGACGTGGACAATTTAACAAAGGGTGAACAGCGGAAAGAGAACATTATTATATTACCATCAACAGCTACACCAGAACAAGTTGCAGCTTCCAAGAAGAAATTGCAGCACATCGAAGAAGAACAATTTTTCTTGAAATGGTTTCCTGTTGTATCTGGCCTTTCGCGTCTCGTAATTGATTCAGGATCTGAAGATATTAGGAATAAAGCTTTGGAAACACTCATTGAGATTTTGAAATCTACAGGACATTTATTTGAAATAAATTATTGGATCAAAATTTTTAGGAATGCTATAATCCCTATATTTGAAGATCTCAAAGAACCTACATCACAACAATCATCAACTATTGATAGGAGACCTGAGGCAACTATAGAAATATGGGTTCAAACTATTCGTTCTATGGTGGAACTTTATGCACTTTTTCATGATATATTTGTTACAAAATCGGAATTTTTAGTAGAATTGTTAGATTTACTGATTGCTTTAATTAAACGTAGAAACGAAAAGCTGGGGCAAACTGGGATCCGTTGTTTCCACAATCTGATATCGAAAAATGGGTCGAAGTTTGATAACGTCACGTGGGGAATTGTTACAACAACATTAGAAGACATTTTTAAATGGACGACTCCAAATGAACTTTTGGAGTTCGAAATAACGGCAGTTGAAGTTGGTGACAATGAAAAGAATGATACAAGAAGCATAAAGAATGTTCCAGTAGGCGGTGGAACTCCATTAATGAATGTTCCTTCTACTAACGGAATTAACGATTCAACAAATATACAGATACCTGATAATAGTCCTCCGTCTTTCACGCCTGACCAAAGTAATTCTAAAACTGATCTAGATTTTACATACACAGTTATAAAGTGTGGAACTCAACTTATTGTTATCCAAACTGTTCAAGACCTTGCATTTAATGATAAAGAACAAGTTAGTTATCTTGTTCAAATGCCAGCGGAGTTCCGGAATAGATGGTTGAGATGTCTATATAATTCTTATAAATTTGCTCACGATTTCAATGCAAATCATGATCTTCGTCGGTCTCTCTTAAAAGCAGGATATGTTCAACAATTACCTAATCTTACAAAACAAGAAACTTTATCGTTATCTGTATTCCTCTCAATTCTTTATGATCTATATCGAACATTTGGTGATAGTGATCAAGATTTATTACAACCTTTGGTTGAGGAATCAACACTTGTACTTCGAAAACTCGTTAAATTAATGCACGAACCATTATCAAATCAACAACAGAGAGAAATGAACAATTGGTCACCGTTGGTAATTACAGTTCTAAGAGAATTGTGCAAGACTAAATGGAATTATGGTAGAAAATATAGCGATGATGATATAAATGAAGATGATGATAATAATACAAATAGATTAGTAGGTCTAAGAAAACAAATTCCAGATTTTTATAGATTAGTAATTAAAATTATTGGAGTGGATAGAGTTGATGTTAGAGTTGCTATTCAAGAATTTTTGGAAAAAATTGGGGATGAATTCTTAAACGTTGATTAGAACTTATGTTTAGTGGGAATAATGTGTCATTAGTAAACATATTTTTGTTCTTAAAAAAAATTTTTGATCAAACTTTAATAGGATAATCTTAACAGATTCTTATCATTAATATTTAGTATAACCAAACGTATCGAAGTAACTCGATAATTGTTAATTTCGATCATTAGACTATTTTTTATTATATTTTTTGTTTATTACAAACCTTGATTTAAAATGTTTGCAAACTTCTGTGAAATGGGGATATATTAGATAATAAGAAAACGCGCAAAAATGTTTTTTACAATTATTAGCAAGCGTCTTTTATTGTTATGAAATGCAATCTGTTGATCAGTATTGTAAATATAAATTAAAATTATTTAAACAAGATATATAATTTTAATTTTGTAATCAAAATTAGTAGATAGGTAGTGCAACTAATTAAATAACAGCTAAAATTTTTTAATTTTTGATAAATAATTAATGTGTAATGTTATTTAAAAAACTTAACCAATATAATATTAAAAAAGTGTAAAAATATTAATTTTTAAAAAATGTGGTTTTAATTAAAAAAAAATTAAAATAAACAAATACTAAATATATATACTGTATCAGTGTTGTAAAATAACTGGTCATTTGACTCTAAATGACCAAATGACCTAATAACCAAGTTATTTGGTCATTTGGTCATTTAAAAATACTAGACAAAATTTGTCAAATAATGGTAATTTAGCAAACCAGATCAAATTAACATATGCCACAAAGTGCATATATGCTAATCATTTGCGTAGTTAAGTTAAATTATTGTATTTTACAATTTGTCTAACATTAAGATTATCTAAAAATTTATAATCATCATAATATAAACAAAATTTATTAGTAATTTTTAAACAAATTTTTATTAATATTTTTCTTAAATTTTATTATATATTTTATATTATTATTGTATATTTTATTATTTTATTAGTTTATTTATATAGTTTATAGTCTATTTTATTTATTTTAAATATTTTACAATAATTTATTACATATTTTATTAGTATATTTTCACAGAATTCTATTTAAAGCAATATTTGTTTTAATATTTAATTATTAGTTTGTTTAACATAACAGAGCCTGAACCAAGATTATACAAAAGTACACAAGTACAGATAGTGTCTAGGATATTTTAGATTGATATATTAATAATTATTGGCTTTATTATTCATTTTATATATGGGAATCCCCACAGCAAAAAGGCACAATGGGCCAAAAATTTTAAATTTGTAATTTTATAAAATTGGAGACTGATTGTTCTAATTTTCAAGAAATTGAGTTTAAGAAAAAAAAAATTTTTTTGATCCATTGTACCCTTTTGCTGTGGGGTTCCCATATAATAGTTTGAGTATTGCTAATCATTATCACAGATGATTGTTATCACATATACTAAAAGAGTCTAGATTTAAAGTTAGGGTTTGGTAGATTTATAGTTAGAAAAAATAAATTATATATAAAATTGCATATTGAAAACTTTTATTTAGTGCCCAAAGATGTATTATCATAGTAAAATATTTTGTTATTAGCGATTTTTTAGTTTTTTTATTAGTTTCGCTATTGTTTTGATTATATAAGATAATCACCTGCAGTGATGATTAGCAATACTTTAATAGTTTTATTATTTATTGTATAGCATTATATATAATAATCATCATAGTAATATATAATATTGTTATTGTAAAATAATATTTCATTATAGAATAGTATTTTATTGTATAATATCATTTCATTGTAGAATAGTATTATTTTTAGTATTATTATTATTGAATAATGACTTAGATAGTGGTATACAGCATTATTATAATAATTTATTAGAGTTTCAATCCGGATATATCTGCCATCTATTTATCCGTATTACTATATCCAGATATCTATCTTATTATATCGGATATCCAAATGGATTTAACCGAATGATCTGATATATTTATATCAGATATCTATTGGATATCCGATATAAATATATCAGATAATCTATTGGATATCCAATGGATTATCCGATATAAATATGTCAGATAA